AGAATGGCTTTGAAAGAGGACTGTAAATGTCACAGGTGCACCATACAATGAGAGTCTGCCGGGCCCTCCTTCCAGGCACGGCAGACAGTGTGGACAGCGATCTTCTACCTCCGACCCCAGGAGTCGAGCAGATTTCCACCCACCTGACCTCGACCCGGGCTCGGGAAAGAACGCTTGGTTGCTTTAGGGCTGGCTCTGTCACTAATTTCCTTCCCTGGGCCTCGGTTTTCCCCATCTGCAAAATGGGAAGAAAGAACCCCCTGCCTATCAGCTTACCAGCACTGCAGGTTCAGATTCCTTTCTGTTTTATGTTGTTCCAGAAATGCCCTCAAGACACATCTGTGCTGATGGCTTGGGACCAGCATTTCTCTGAGGGACATCCCAAGGGACAGTGAGAAACACTGTCTTGGTGATCCCTGGGTGATCCCGGGACCGTAGCCCGGCAAGGGCTCTGCCAAGTCCAGCAGTAAGGACGTTGTCCTTCTGGCAGAACACTCATCAGTGTCTCGCAGAGCACCCTGTGGCGCTCTCCTGGTGGCAGTCAGGCCAGGAGGACCCAGGGAAGCTGAGGCCCTGGATATCCCCCAAACTCAGACCCCTGGCTCCCAGGTCAGGGTTCCTGTCTCACCCCAGGCCTCCGTCCACTGTAGGGGATGGTCTTTGAGGCTGAGTTACAGCCATCAGCTCCAGTCCCTCCCATTCTCCTTGTTCCCAGAGGCCTGGAAGTCCCCAAAAATAGCTGCCTGAGCTAAAATTCAGAGGACTTGATAAGCCGGGTTAATTTGAATGCCCGTGGCCATGAACGGCAGTCCTCCCTAGTGGGTTGCTTGGATAAATGAGTTAATTTTGTCCAAGCTCCAAGTGTCTCAGGGACTTTGGTGCTGAGGGTGCACACAAGGGTTGTTGGGGGGAGTAGGATTGGCTTGGAACGTGCTCTGGGGTCTGTGGGGACCCCAGGAAGGAGAGCTGCACACTAGGCAGAGCAGTTCACCGTGCTGATAATGGCCCGGGAGTCCAGCCTAGCCAGGGGGCTTGGCAGGTGGGAGGACGTTCCTTGGAAAACTTCATGGTGGCAGCTTCCCTGGTGAGAGCAGGGAGTGGGGGGTGAGGGGGCAGCTGGGGACCTCAGTGCCTCATCCTGAGGCTGAACAAGGCAGTCTGAGGCAGCAGAGGTGAGGACAGCTGTCCTTCCGACTGGCCCAAGCATGGCAGGGGCACGTGCAGGACTGTTGAGGCAGAGGGCACTGGGGCTGGACCTCGGCTGAGCCCTGAATGACCTGGGTGTCGCTGGACGGGATGCTTGCCTCGCTCTCCATTTTCTCCTCTGAAAATGGCAAGAACAATCCCTTCTCCTCTCGCTCAGAGTAGTGAATGAGAGAACCTAGAACTATAGGGCACATAATAGGTATTCGGCCACTTCTCTCCTCTCTCTTTGGATAAGCTCTCTTTGGAAAGACAGGCAGAGGCTTTTTTTTTTTAAACTTTTAATTGAAATATACATACACACGGGAAAGTGCATAAATCTTTTTTTATTCATTTTTTAATTTAAAATTCATTTCGACCCTTTGGGGGCTGAAAATATTACAAAACCTTAAAATAAAATGTCTTGCTTTCATTGGTTTCTTTTTTATAGCATTAAAAAAAGTTATTTTGAAATAAGTTAAGACACAGTGAGTTGCAAAAATAGCACAGGGTTCCCAGGGGCCATTTACGCAGTGTTTCCCAGTGACATCTCACACAGCCGCAGAGCCCTGTCACAGCCACGAGGCTGACATGGGTACAGTATTATTAACTAAGCTAAAAAGTGTGTGTACCTTAATGGATTTAGCTCAGTGGTCCCCGGGCATTTTGGTACCAGGGACCGGTTTTGTGGAAGACAATTCTTCCACAGGCGGGCAGGGGGTAGGGGCAGAGGGATGGTTTCGGGATGATTTGCGAGCAGGACATTGGAGCTCCTCTCCCGCTGTGCAGCCCGGTTCCTAACAGGCCTGGACCGGCTCCAGTCCGACGCCTGGGGGTGCGGACTCCTGATTTAGTTCAAAAGTGCGTGTAGCTCGATAGATTTTCACAAAATGATCATAGCTCTGCCACCAGCACCCAGATGAAGAACGAGAATGACCAGCAGTCCCAAAACGCCCCTGTGCCCCTTCTGGTCAGTGGCCCACCCCCAAGGTGACCACGATGGGGCCTGACTTTCCACAGCATAGATTCACGAGGCCCGTTGCTGAGCTTGGTGTGCATGGAGTCACACGACACGTGCTCCTCATGTCTGCAGCTTCCGCTCACCCTCCTGTCGGGAGCTCCTCCGTGTTGTGGTGGGTGGTGGGTGGCTGGCTCGTGCCCACTGCTGTGTAGGCAGAGTTTGGCAAAGGGCACAACCCTTTGCGATCCTGGCACAGAGCCCCCACCTCCTGTCCCCACGAGAGTCCTTTAAGGCCCTACTCCTGGCAGCCAGAGTCGGAGGCAGCCAGAGGAGCGGCCTTTATCGTCTCTCAGTCTGAGAAACATTGTTACGAGGCTGAGCTGCTTCCCCTCGAGATTCGCATGCTTCAGTCCTACCCCCTATACCCCAGAGTGTACCTGTATTTAAAGGTGGCTTTTAAGGACTCAAAAGTTGAAATGATGTCACCAGGTTGGGCCCTAATGCAATGTGCTTGGTGTCCTCGGTCATCTTCTCTCTGTTTGGAAACCCACTGGGCTGGTGCCTGCAGAGGACATGGGGCTGCCTCCTCCGGGACCGCAGCCTCCCTGCTTGTTCCCAGGCCTCGTGCAAACTGAGCCCAGGGGCGGTTTCAGCTGTTCTTTGGTTGGCAGTTTCAGCTCAGCACTGAGACTGCAGGAGTGGGGGTTCCTCATAGGTTCCCTCCATCCCGGTCACAGGCAGGCATGTGGGGGAGCAAAGCCGCCCTGTCCGAGCCTTTGCAGGCCCCTCACTGGCATCCAACACATTTATTTCCTACTTGTGGACCAGCTGATCTAGGCCGGCCTTGACCCAGGTCTGCTCCAGGCGTCTCTGACCCTCTTTGGACCTGGCACCCAGGCGTGCCCCACAGTGGGCACAAGTGCCAGTGGGGAGGAAGCCTCGCGGGCCAGCAGATCTGAAGGCGAGATCACGGTGGGTTCACTGACTTCCCAGGGGCCAAAGCAGGTCACGCGGAGGCATTTCACATCGATGGGGCGCGGAAGGGGAAGTCCACATCACCTTCCAGGTGGTGGGGGGGAGGGGGTATTTGCTGCACAACCATTTCATCTACTACAGTCAATAAGCTTTTACCCAAAAGAAGGATTTTTCCCCTAAAAAAAACCCCTCAGAACCACTGGTTAGGATGATTGCGCCCAGCACCTATCACTGCAGCATCATCTGGGGGCCTTTGTCTGCCCATGGAATGTTCCCTAGGGACCTTGTATCAATAGCTGACACGCTTTGACCCAATAGCCTGCCTGGCCGGGTGCTCCCGACTCTCTCACTGCCGCCCCCTGCCGGCAGAAGAGGGCAGTGGCGAGGCCTGACCTAGATCTGGACAAAGGACCTCATTCACTTCAATGCAGGTTGTTAGAAAAGACGGCTTTTTAGAAAAGCCACCAGGGTTCAAATGCTGATTCTGCTGCTTAGTGCCTATGTGGCTTTGAGAAAGTCCCTGAACCACTGCAAGCCTCAGGTTCATTATGTATAAAATGGGCGTACATCTAGAACTTGGGTCTTGGAGTTTTGGGTAAGGATTAAGAAAGAGTAAGACCGCAACCCCCTGGCCCCCCTGTGAGAGCTCAGTATACGTTTGCTGTCATTGTGCCAGGGGCTCGCTAGGCAGGACGAGGTAACCACGAGGTCCTCTCACCAGGACCTCCATGCCCTTACTCCTAGGGCGGAATAAATTCTGTGATGCCGACACTCAGTCGCCAAGGTAACTGGCCCCTAGGGGCTGTCAAAATCAGTCCCAGTCCTCTTAGCCCAGAGCACTGACCCCAGAGCACCCCTGACTGTGTGAGCCACAAAAATGCCTTTCCCTGGATGCTGGCCGCCCACCCAGGGACAGAGCCTCGAATGTCATGTCCACTTTTGGAGCTGCCTTTCTCTACAGGCCTGGACCATCTGCTCCCAAGTTAGAGGGAGAGAAAAACGGCTGGGAGGCCTCCTGCCACACACCAGGGCCCTGTAAGCGACATGGCCCGCGTGCTGAAGTGGGCGGCAAATCCATGTGCCCGGCTCGGCTCAAACCTGCTGGCGCACTGCAGTAAAACTGCCGTCGACTTAATGTATGCTAATTAGATTTTAATGGGATTCAGGATTCCAATAGTAGTGCAGTGTTAGCCATAGTAAGTTATAATCATATCTAATTGGTAATTCTAACATAACAAATTTCTTAGATAAATTATTCTTAGTTAATAGTCCCCTAGGAACAACCTCGACACACACACTCAAACACACACATATATATTTTAGAGAAAACTGAGAAAAAAGAATAAGGTAGAAGCAGGCTCCCAGCAAGACTGAATTGTTATTTAAAACCTGGACTCTCTCAGGACCTGTGCCAGAGCCTCCAAGGAAAGCCTTTGGCGTGGGGAGAACCCACAGTGGGGTTCAGAGCACTCAAAGGCTGGGGGTGGGGTGCGGGTGACAGTCACAGCAATGGTCTTGAGGGTGAGGTACCTCCTCACCATCCCGGGAGGTGGCACCTGGCTCAGGCCTCAGCCCCCACTCAGGGCCTGGACCCTGTCCCCACAGAGATGCACCCTGGCCTCAGTAGCCCCTCCCCTCCCTGCCAGATTCGTTGTCTCTGGAATTCTTCCCAAGTACAAATTCCAAAACTCCAAAGGGGCCAGAGGGAGACCCACCGGCTGAGTTAATATTCTCCTGACCAGGCAGATCACTGAGTGTCTTTCCGGAAAAGGGGGTGGGGCCAGCCAACCTGACTTCTGGTCGTCATTTTGCCACTAAGGCTCTGTAACCCTGGGAGAGCTGCTGGGGGGGGGTGCTGCCTTCTCAGACGCAGCGGGACAGCTTGAGACTCATCATTCCTTTCTCTTTCAGCTGGAAGGAGGAGGCCTCTTCTCTGCTGTTGGGGTCGGGGGGCGGGTCTTTTGCCGCCCACAGACAGTCTGGAGTACAGGCCTGCCCTTGCTCTTTCTCCTTATTCTGTTGGGTCACTCTCTGTCCCCGAGGCTGCCCCTGGCCCCCGGTGCGTGTGGCTACCCGCATGCGTCCCCCAACTGCCACCAGTCTAAGGCTTGTGCTCCCCGAGGGTGGGTGGTGTGGCCGCAACGTCATCCCACTCAGTGGAAGGCAGGACGGTGGGAGAGTTGTGCAAGGACATGGGGTTTCCGGCGGGGCCGCTGCTCACCCAGAACTGCGTGGTCCTCCCCCGAGAGGTCCACTCTGCATTTCCTTCATTCAGTGAGTGCAAACGTACCGCTCTCACACAGCGGGTGTGCGGATGGCCGAGACAACCGTGTAGAGAATGCAAATCAGGAAATGTAAGTTTCTCTCCCTTTTCCCTTTCCTCCTTCTCTGTCTCCCTCCCCTTAGGCTGGGACGACGAGGAGGCACAGTGTGACCTGTGGTTGGAGGGTGAAGATTGATGTCAGCGTCTGGTGAGTAATAATGACAGCTGATATTTATTGAGCATGAACTTGATGCCAGACATTTTTTTGAGCACTTTATTTGCACTCTTTTCTTCAGTCCTAAGAAGTGGGTATGATTATTACTCTAATTATAGAGCTAGGTAGGCCACTTAAGCCCAGAGAGCTTATGTGAGTAGCCCGAGGTCACACAGCCAGTCAATAGCGGAGTCAGAATTTGAACCCTCAAGAGTTTGGCTTTAGAGCTCACCTCAGTGGACTGACCAGCTTGAGATTATTAGAGTATTTAGGGGAGAGCCATGTTCCCGGGTGGAGGTTCCTGGGAGAAGAGAGGAGAAGGAACTAAAAAAAGGAACTTTCTCTGAGTTCTGGGTCTGCACTTGACACTGCGGGGCACCCCCCCTTCCCGCAACAGAGGAAAATTACCTGGTGCATCAAGCCCAGGTCAGATCTCAGTTCCGGAACTTACTTGCTGTTTGACTTCAGCGAGTTAAAGAACCTCTCTGCGGCCTCTGCTTCCTTCTTTGTAGAATGGAGCAAATTCTCCTAATGCTGGAAGGTTGTTGTGAAGATCAGAGGGGATGACGCACGGAAAGGGCCCGACGCAGAGACACCTGGTACACGGTCACCTCCTGCACAGATGAATGTTGATATTTATGTCAATTCTGGTATATGGAGTTTTGGTGTTTGATTTGTTAGCCACATTCTGTAAGTTAAGAGCGATCATCCCCATTTTATAGCTGGAGAAACTGAGTCTGGAGAGGTTAAGCAACATGCCCGCAGTCCCTCACTGGGGATGTGGTAAAGCCCCAGGGGGGACCCTGCAAGCTTTCAGCCCCTTTCAGAGCTCCAGCCGTCCCTGTGGAAGGGCTGAGGGTGACAGTCACCGTCCTGTCCTCTGCAGCTCATGGCCTCACCCCGCGGGGCTCCAGCTCATTCCCACTGCCCCCACCGCCCACCTGCCTGCCTGCTTTTCAGCCCTGATGACTGCGTCATCACTATGACAGCCTTTTCTGAGTGACACTCATGTCCCAGCCTGAGCTGGGAGCAAACGCTCCTAACGGCCTCCCAGGACTAGGCTTGGGCCGGCCTTCAGGGTCAGCACCTAGTCTGTTAGTCCTTGGGGCCTAGGGCTCACTGGCTATCCCTCCTCTCCGCCTCTCTCCCTGCACCTCCTTCCTTGGTTTCCACCCCCTCCTCCCCAGGGCCCTGTGCAGGTAAGTGCCTGTCGCGTAGAGATATCCGGTACATGGTAGATTCCCCCACCCCCTTTCCCCCAGGGCCCTTTCTCCCTTCTAAGAGCCTCTGAGTGGGCCACAGGGATCCTGGGAAGCCAAAGGACTCAGTCTAGCAGACGCTGTCCTTGCCCCACTCCTGCCACCAAAGTGCCCCCTGGGGCCACCCGCCATTGACTGCCTGTGGCTGCCTTGCACAGCACCTGCGTCTCTCTACAGGGGCTTTCTCAGGCTTCAGGGGTGTGCTCAGCTCTCAGGGGGTCAGGCCATGAGGACGCTGTTCCAGCTCCGTCGCCTCCTGGCGGGGCCAGTCGGAGGTCCGATGCCTGATCTCCAGGGTGCCCCTTGGAATAAGGGTCCCCTTGCCCAGGCTGCTAACTGGCCCAAGGCCCATCCTGGATGGACGTTCCTCCCTCCCTTTTCTGGCTGCCTTCTTCTTACTCTGCTTCCTGGGTCCCCTCCCAAATCAACTACTTGCACCCAATCCTTGAGATTTGGAACCCAAATTAAGAGCCTTGGCCACTTCAAGCATCAGATCATTTGTGGCTTGGTTCAATGGAAAGAGTGTGGGCTCTTTATCCAGGCAGGGGTAGGGTCAGATCCCAGAGCTGTGGCCGTAAGCTGTGTGACTGACCAAATACCTTACCTCTCTGAGCCTCTACTTCAACATCTATAACACAAGGAACACCTGTTCTTAGGGCCAGTGAGACGGGTGGAGTGCCTGGCAAATGGTCGGCGCTTAACCAATGCGGGTGGTTCCCAAGGCAGATGGTCTCAAATCAGCATCTCCCTTGAGCCCCAGACCTGCTGGGTGCCACATTGGCATGTTGCCCCTTCTCCAAGGTCAGCTCGTCCAGCGTCAAACTTACCCGTTCTCTGCATTCTCATTCCCGAGTCTCCAGCTGCAGGCCAAGGTCCTCTGGCTTGTTGTCAGGTTCTCCTGCCCTCATGCGCACAGCCACCATTTCCGGAGGGCTGGGGGCCTCCTCTGGGTTCGCGCTACCACAGCCCCGCAGCTGGCCCTGCTCCCTGTGGCCGGACCCGATTCCTGGCCTGGCACTGCCTCTCACTGAGGGTTTGTCCCTGGGCAAGTCACCTCCCTGCTCTGAGCTTTATCTCCTTCTTTGGAAAGCAGGTGCATGGTTGTTTTAAGGGCTAAAGTACCCAGCACAATGCGTGGTAAATAATCAAGGCTTGGCCCACTTAGGGCCTTCCTCTCCAGCCAGTGCCATTGACCTTCACAGAAACTCACATGAGAACTATTTAAATGAGCAACAACTGCCCATTTATGCCAAAAGCAGGCTCCTCCAATTTGACCAAGCACACAGATGACCTGGGATCTTGTTCAAATGCAGATTCTGACCCAGTAGGTCTGGCGTGGGGCCTGAGGTTCTGCCTTCCTGTTAAGTTCTCGGGGGATGCTTGTTCCCACCTGCAAAGTGAGGCTCTAGAGCTCCCCACTCTGCCTCCAAGATGCTCTCGCCCAGAGCTCTTGCTGGCTCCCTATTGCCTGGTGAGGACAACAACAGCCAACACTTACTGAATCCGCACAGCATTCCAGGCACTGTTCTCCAAGCTTTCTGTATACTTATCCACTTAATTCTCTGAGATGAGCACCACAAACAGCCGTGTACCCATTTCACAGGAGGGAAAATAGAGGCACAGAAAGGTTAAGTAAAGCACCCGAGTCACAAAGACAGTGAGTGGTAGAGCTGGACTTCTGACCCTAACAGGCTCTATGTGCTTGACCTTGGCGGCTCTGCTGGCTCCTCTTGCAGGAGAAGTCTCAACCCCTCGGCCTGCGATCTAAGGGACTTGAGGAAGGACTGTCCCTGTGGTCAGAGAAGAACAGTTCCAGGGGCAGGTCAAGTTTGAGAATGTCGGGTGGAGCACCAGTTAAGAAAGGACTCCTCCAAAACCCTTTTTGTCTATGTCCCTGGGAACTGCAAGTTCAAGGAATTAGACGCCAGAAGGAATGGCAGCCTAGGGTTGGGAGGGCAGCTAGCTGCCTGGGGCAGGGGGTCGGGGTGAGCGGCAAGGTGGGAAGAGCAGAGGGGAGGCGTGGGGCAGCTGCCCAGGAAGCTCTGTCACCAGGGCCGAGGCGGCTGGCAGCCCGGGGCTCTGCTGTGTGAGCTGACATTTAGGCCTGCCACCGATGATTGGGCCCGTTTTGGAAAAATGCATGTACTTTGCACATCTATTTCTTTCCACCCATCACTCAGGGCTGTCGTTCCCCGAGGAGGGCAAGGGCGTAATCACCGACAGAACAGCTTAAGTGCCTTTTGGAAGCTCTCCCTTCTGCTCTGCTTTGAGACTCTGCCTCCCCCGTGGGCGGCAAGGCCAGTCTCTCCAGCTGCATGTGGGTCTCTGTCCTTCTCTTTGTCCTCTCTGTGTCGCGCCCTCTTTGTCTCTGCGTCTACGCTGGCTTCTCTCTTTCTCTATCTGTCTGGACTGGAAAGTTCTCTTCTAGAGTCCCTCTCCCCAGCCTCCCTCTCTGCCCCCTCCATCCTTTATCTTCAAATCCCTCATAGGAGCCTTCTGTCTCCCAGGGTGTCAGATCCCAGGGCGAGCCTGACCCTTAGTGCCCCTTCCCCTCCCTCCTTCCTCTCTCCGCTCCAGGCCAGGTCCTCCTCCATCCTCCACCCCCTGCTCTTTTTCAGGCTCCTCTCCCTCCTCTCATCTTCTCTGCGCTCAGGACCACCACCCCAATCTCCCTTTCATTCCTCTCCCCTGAAATGGACAGGTGCGCATCCACATTTGGGGCCCACCTGGGGTTGTCAGCTCCCCAGCTGGGGCAGAGCCCAGGGGCCTTGTTTTGGGTTTTGTTTTCTCAGCTCTGGGCGCACTCGTGCATTTCACAAAAGCTGCAGTCATTCTGGGTCAGGAGGGCTGGTCCTTGACTCCACAGGTGCCGGAGCCTCGTGGAGGAGCCACGATCCACTGTCCACCTCTCCCCACAGATGAGGTAATCGTGACCCTGGGTGGAGCTGGCGGCCAGCCTCACTGGTGCCCGGGGTGTGGTGGGGTCTCCCCAGATCCTCTTCTGCTTGGCCAATAGCCTGGCCAGGGTAGAAACAAGAGGCGAAGGGGGGACAGAACAGCCACATGACCCCCTCAGGTGTGCTGTGCAATCCCAAGACTAAGGAGAAGACAGTGAGCTCAGACTTGGCTTCTCTTGCAGGTGCACAGGCCAAGGGACCCCCGGCAGAGCTGCCTCCAACCCTCCAACCCAGAAGGGGCAGCCCTGGGATAAATGTCACGTGCCCCCCCACTCCTGTGACTCGACTGATGGGGGGCCTCCAGCTGTTCAGAGCTCAAAAGCCCAGGCCAGAGAAGGGTGGCCCATTCCAAGCTGCCACACACGAGGCTGCTAAGAGCTCTAGTGAGTAGAGGAGGCGGGCTGATACCCTGGCCCACAGGCTGGGGGGAGGGGGTCTTCTCCGAGAGGCCCAGCAGGGGTCTCTGCATCTGCCTAGTCACCTGAGCACAAGGGTCAGTGGGCATCAGTTGGGCAGCCAGAGAACTGTGGAGAGTGGAGGGTCAGTGAATGGTGGACAGGGACCAGCACTCACTTGTGGCTAGAAGAGCAGTCGGTGGAGACAGAGCTTCCAGGGGACCAGGACTTGGTGGTCGGCCCAGACCAGCAGCCACGTGTCTGACTGGCCTGCCTTTGAGCCGGGACGTGCCTCAGGGGACAATGCAAACTGGCCCGGAACTCTCTCCCAGTGACAGCAGCATTTGGGGGTTGGTGCCCAAGAGACAGCTGAGGCATCTGGACCGACAGGGGGCAGCACTGACTTCCATGCTGCCTTCTTGGCCTTCAAGTCCTGGCTGCAATGCCACTGCCTCTTGGAAGCCTCCCTTGACCTCCCGCGTAGAACAATCTTTCACCCGTTCCGTGACTGCATTGTGCTCTCTCCTACTTTTATTTCAATACTGGTTGCACAGAATTTCACCTCTTTTTCTACTCCAGTCTATCATTCCAGATGGATTTGGGGTTCTTCGACAGCAGATTCTGCCCGGTCTGTCTCTATGCCTCCTTGCCTGACACAGGGCCAGGCCAGAGCCACAGGTCAGGCTGGGCTCTGATTTACTCTTCCCTCCTCCTCCAACTCCAGGTTGAATAAACCATGCTTTGCAGCCTGCCCAGCACACAGAATCCTCAAATTCGGCATCAAAGCAGTCGCCCTATGCCCTGTGGCATCCAGCTGGCTTTCTCCGGTGTGTCCCCAGCCACTGTCTGTGGTTCATCCACTTGCTGCTGAGATATTAATGCACCTCAGGGGTCAGTGGAGCCCAGTGACTGCTGTTAATAGGGCAAAGCAATTTCAATTTCATGCCTACGTGGGCTTCCGTCTATTAAGGCAAAGAAGGGGAACAAATCTCCCTTTATTCCTTTCAGAAAACACAGTCACAGTGCGGCAGAGGCTTATGTAGGGTTGCTGGCAGGCGGCAGGGGGGCAGGAGGCTCGCGTGAGACCGAGCAGGGCTCCGGGGAAGCAGGAAGTGGGTCGAGGAGGCAGCCGGTACTATGTGGTTGTTGCCTGCCGATCTGGCCTGGATGTTCCTATGGGTGAGTATCTGAGCGCCTTCGATACTTGAAAAGCATTTGCTTGTGTTGCTCTCTGCTTGCAAGGTGTGGACATGCAAATGCTCATTGAATGAAGGGATCATTTATTCGTTCTATCTGTGGAAGAGAAATTGCTATGAAGAGTCATTTGGGCTTCCCAGGTTAAAGGAGAGTATGTGACGCGGAGGGTGGGAAACCAAGATTCTAGAACGTCAAGTTCAGATGGTGGAGCTGTTGTAAATTGCAAAAAAAAAAAAAGACCTTAATTCTGCATTGTCTCACAGCCACACATTATGCTGTTGCAGCTATTCTCATAAAAAACGGCAATCTATTTCTTCACCTCTTGAATCTGGGCTGAACTTACGACTTATCCTGTCCAAAAGAAAAGAAAAAGTAGCAGAAGTGACAGATTGCAGGTTCCCTGAGGCCATTTGAGGCTTTGTGTGTCCCAGCTCTCCCTTGCGCCTCTGTCTTCACCACGCCCGTGTGCTGGACGATGAGAGGCCAGAAGGGACAGAAGCCCCGATGGACCAACCCGCCCCCGCCTGACTCAGCAGCTGACTCAGGTGCAACAGGGAGCCCAGCCGACCTCCCAGATCAGCCGCTGGCTGTAGCCTAACCAAAAACAATAAACAGCTGTTGTTTTAAGAATCCACATTTGGGGGATGTTCATTATACAGCATCACTGTGGCGATAGATAACTGATACAAGAGCCACACGACAGTGTTCCTATTTAATCTGCAGCATTCATCACAATGCCTGACCCGTGGTGAGTGGTTAGGGAACATTTGTTGAGTAAATTAATGTGCTGTCAGAAGCGTTGATATAACAACTTGTCTTTCCCCTAAATATACACTAAATCGTCTTCTCCGAGCCTTTGCTTATGTTCTTCTCTCTGTCTAGAATATTCTTCTCCATTCTCTGCTTGGTCAAACTCTATTTTTCTTTCAAAGCTCTGCTCGTGTGTCATCGGTTCTCCTTGGTCTCCTCTGACTCGCCCTCCCCCACTGCAGAGGAATGACTCTCTTTCCCCCCTAATCCCTGGAGCACTGGAGAGGTTTTGTGCTGAGCACTCATCACAGTTTGAGGGTCCATGGTTATAGCTGAATAAATGTGCTCCCTGCCCTGGGCTGTGAGCTCCTGCAGGGTGGAGAGCACCTCCTGCCCATCTCTGCAGCCTGGATGCTGAGCAGAGCCTGGCCCCTTAGCCTGTCCCTGGTAGGTGCTCACTCACTCACTTATTTGCTCACTCACTCATTCATACACTTAATAAACAGTGGCCGAGCTCCTGCCATGCGCCAGGCTCTGGCTTAAGCGCTGAGGATAAAAAATGGATGCTACGGATGTGGTCCCCACACTTACTGGCTGACACTCTGGCCAAGGGGAAGGGGAAGGCGGTCACTAAATAAACGGACAGATAGGAAAAGCACCTCACGGTGGTATGTGCTCTGCAGAGAATGAAATTAAGGAAGACATGGTGGAGAGAGGGTCATGGTGGTCAGATAGGTCCCTCTGAGGAGGGGATAGTTAAGTTGGAATATCTAAGTGGAAAGGAGAATTAATCCTGAGAAAGTCAAGGGGACAAACATAGTGAATTCTAAGCAGCAGAGTTGGGCAGAGCAAAGGTCCTGAGGCAGGAATGGGCTTGGAGAGTTTGAGGAAAGGTGAGTGCATGACAAAGAGAGTGAACGAGACAAAGCCAGCAGGCTGGGTTACATCCTCCGTGACTTGTAACGGGTTTGGATTTGTCTCCTGTGTCTTAGTCTATTTGGGCAGCCACACCAATGCACCACAGACTTGGTGGCTTCTAAACAACGGAGATTTATTTCTCACCGTTGTGAAGGCAGGAAGTCCAAGATCAGGGTGCCTGCCTGGTCAGGTTCTGCTCAGAGCCCTCTTCCGGTTGTGGGCGGCCAACTTCTCGCCGTGTCCTCACACGGTGGAAGGAGCGAGGGAGCTCTTTGGGCTCTCTTTTTTAAGGGCACTAGTCTCATTCATGACGGCTCCACCCTTGTGACCTCAGCATCTTCCAGAGGCCCCATCTTCCAAAATCATGACACTGGCAGTTAGGTTTCATTCAACACATGAATTTAGGGGGGAACACAGACATTCCATCTACAGCAGGTGAGAAACCGTTGGAGAGTTCTGACTTGGAGGCCACCGTGGAATGCCTTATGTTGTAAAGGATCTCTTTGGCCACTGTTGGGGGACCAGATTATTGGGGGGCGGCAAGGAGGAGATCTGAAGGTGAGAGGTAGCTCTGGGTAGGGTGGTGGCACTGGAAAAGGAGAGAAGCAGGTAAACTGAGGATGAGTTTTGAGTGTAGAGTCAACAAGATATTTGGATATGAAGGAAAGAGATGAATGAAAGGCAAGTGTTGGGTCTGGTCAACCGGGTTGATGACGGCGCCACTTCCTGAGAAGGGGAAAGAGCACCATGCTCTGAAAGGGACAGTCCAAAGTTGGGTTTCAGCTGCGTGAAGTTGGAAATGCAATTAGCTATGCAACGGGAGAGGGGAAAACAACAGGAACATGGGACATCAGCGTCTGGCGCTCCGGGGAAAAGTTATGGGGTCAGAGGTTTGGCAGTTGAGGTGGACGTGAGCTGAATGGGCCATCCAGGTCCTGACCTGGGCCAAGACACAGGGGCTGTGATGACAGCCCGATGCACCCAGGACTTGGAGTCTTTGTAGGGATGGGTCCCTATTCCCTGGACATTTGCATGGACTGGGAGAGGCACAAGGGTCTCCTTGAAGTACTGTGTGTCCTGGCTGGGAAGGGAGAAGAAGCCTGGGCACTCTGAGGCAGCAGCGGTGGCTGAGGGCACTTCCTCCCAGCTCTCAGCCCTCCGGCCACCCTGGCCTGTGCCTCTCCATGGCGGACACAATGCACCGTGTTCACCAGCGAGCACGGGGAGGCTGTATTTTCCAGCCTCCCTTGCAGTTAGGTTGGGGGCTGTGACCGCTTCCCGTCATGGGGTGTGGGCAGAGGTGATCTCCGGCACCGTTGGGCTTGGCCCTTAAAAATGCCCTGTGCCATTGTGTGAGACTCCCCTTGCTGCTGGGAGAAACTACCACGCACTGAGAGGCTTAAAACCATGCAAATGCACTTCCTTAGCATCCTGTCCTGGACGATGGGGGTCTGGAACGGCTCTGGGCTGAAAGTGCTGGTGGCGCCAGTTCCTCCCGGAGTGTCCCGGGAGAACCCGGTCCCTTCCCTCTTCCAGCTGCTGGCCGTGGCCTGCCTTCCGTGGCTCCTGGGCCCCTCCCCGCTCCCCAATCAACTTGTTGCTTCTGTTTTCACATTTCCTTCTAGTGTCTTCCTTCTTCCCTTGTATGAGGCCCCTTGAGATGACACTGGGCTCACCTGGATGATCCAGAGCAATCTCCCCACCTCAAAATCCTTAGACATCACATCAGCAAAATCGATGTTTTGCTTACCTCGTAAGGTAACATGTGCACAGGTGTGGGGATTGAGACGTGGACATTGTGGACATCTCTGGGAGGATCATCGTTTGGCCCGCCACAGTGATCCTGCAGCCCTCTTCCCCTGCCCTGGGGAAGATTCTAGAAGCCACATGTTCCAGCTGGGGTAGCCACAAGATGAAAGAGGACTGTCCAGTCTGCTTTGGGCTTTTCATAGCCCCAAAGAGTGTTTTAAAAAATGGTGTTAGTGCAGTGAGACTCTGGGTCCAATGCGCTCCTGCTGCGCAGCCTGTCCCATCCAGATGTTAAACGTGCTCCACGGACTCTCCTGGGTGACTTGCCAGTCTTGGCCACAGCTCAGAGAGGCCAACCCTACCCTCCCAACGACCCTGTGTTTCCCCCAGAGCTAATCACTGAACGGCATGGGGAATCTTCTTGTGGTTGAGAAGAAAGTTCTGGAACCTCTACCCCTGACTTACCTGTGACCTTGAATGATGTTGGCCTTGGCCATGTGATTTGCTTTGGGCTGAAGAAGTGTTCATGGACACAACAGGGAGATGATTTAATGGTGGGTACATAGTTTGGGTTTTCCCCCCTCAGCTCTAGTGATCTACCATTAGGGGATCGAATGTCAGAGGGCCACTGCCCCTTTAGCCTGAGCTTCCGAGCAAACACCCAAGGAGAAGACCCAAGCCCACCTACAGCCTGGAGTCCAGCCCAGTGGAGCAGAGCTGCCCACTGAGGCCAGAGAGGACCAGCTTCACCACGTCATCCTGGACAGGAACACAATCGTGAATGCTTGCTGTTGCAGACCACCAAGATGTGTGTTGGTTTGTTACGCAGCATTATCCTGGCAACTGCTGACCATTACGCTTGCCCTGAGGACCCTTTAATTTCCTGAGTGTCTTTGGCCACTTCCCATGCCTGGGTGTGAGGATTTGGGTGAGACAGTGAGCCCCATCTCCACCCCTCATCCAGGGAGGAGCATGTCTTCCAGCTCCTTTGTCACTCCTGCCCCCAGCACAGTGCCAGTCCCAATGCTGGATGCCAGGTGGCACCCAGTTGCTGTCATAGAGCAAATGAAGAATACAGAGCCACGGACTCAGGTGGGGAAAATCATTCTGTTTGTTTTAATTAAACCGACTGAAGAAGCCAAGACAGACAGAAAGAGACTAAGAACAAGACTGGAAATAGTTTAGAAAAGAAAGGAAAAGCGATTGCAGAGATGTCAGTGCTGGACGAGAGCTGGGAGCCGGGGCCGTGCCTTCACGTCAGCTCCAGAACCACTGTCAGGGCGAGCACCAAGGTGAGCCGGACACCAGCAGGGCCAGAAGTGGAACCTGTGCCGGGCGGCAGGGAGCAGGATCAGAGCCCGCAGACCCACCATGTCGCTTTCTGGTGGGCTCGGTGGCTGTGGTGCCCGGGAACAACGGAGCTTCAAAGGGCCCAGGGAAGAGTCTGAACTTCAGTGTCAGGATGCACTGGGTCCACATTTCAGCTCTGCCACTGGTCCCACCTATGGGTGGCCCCTGCTTTGTCCTGGGCCTGCTGGGCTGTGGCCAGGCTCCCTGGTGCCCATCAGGACCCACCAGTGGGGACCAGGAGTTGGGGCCTCCGTTGTGAATTTCGGGATGGGTCCAATATGGGGACAGGAGAGCTGGTGGGCCTCAGAGCAGTGGCTGGGTCCCTTGGAGAGGTGCCTGGTTTGGGGGAAGCCTGGGAGGGCAATATGTTGGGCCCCAGAAGAGCCATCTGGCTGTGCTCCCAACTGCCCTGCGGAGTGGTCCAGGGCCCCAGAACACAGCCCCATGGTCAGTGCTGGACACATATCCTCGGGGCCAGGGTGGCTGAGCTCTCTGAGTCGCTGTGGATGGTGTTGGGGGCGCACTCCCTGGAAATCCCTGCTGCTTGCTCAGGGGAGGGGCAAGGGTAGGCAGATGGGAGATGCGGGGGCCAGAGCTTCCTGGAGCCTCAAAAATCGCACTTCTACGTGAGGAGCCCTGAGAATGGAGACTTACCATTGGAGTCCTCTGTCCCTCTTGGAATATTTGGGTTTTCTGTTGGGAGGAACAGAAAGAGGGCTAGAGAGTGGATGGCTTCGGAACACAGTAACGGAGCTCCCCTCTGTCCGTATCGCACCTGCCAGGTGGCATCACGTGCCCTGTCTCAGTGCAGTCACACGTCTGTGGGCTGGAAGTGCCAGCCCCACCATGGCACAGAAGGAGAAGCTGAGGAACGTTAAGTTGCTTGCCCACAGGTGGCCCAGCTGCTAAGTGGTGGGCCTGGGACTTGAACCCACAGATCTCTGGTTTTCATTGCTGAACTCCAGTGCCTCCCCATGGGGTACCTTCCCAGGGCAAACGTAGGGGACTCAGGCACTTTCTGTTCCCTCCTCCTTGGGACAGTGCCAGCCAAGGCTTGTCCCCGGACAGCCGCCCGGACCCCCACCCAGCGCGGCGTACCGAACACGATGAGCCGGGTGTGAGTGTCCGTGGAGCCAAGCGGGTTCTGGGCTGTGCAGCGGTACATGGAGCCGTTGAGCTCCGCGGGAACCCGCTCCAACACCAGCTCCTTCCCGTCGAACTCGGTGCTGCCGTCCAGGAGGCGGCTCCCAACCCGCGTCCATGTGAACATGGGCTCTGGGAAGACTTCATTCTGTTGGCCGGAGCAGGAAGGAGTCAGAGCCATGGCCTGGCCAGCCCTGGCAATGTACTGTCATCTGATAGGATCAGAGGGGCTTCCGGGAACACTAGGCAGAAGAAGACTCTAGGGCTGCAGAAGAGGTCAAGGCCCATGAGCTATGTCTAATCTGAGTTCTGGATGGGTAAGCAAAAATGCAGGTACCTTTTGCCATTCCTCACCAAAACCATCCCTAGACTAGCAGGCTGGGCTGGAGGTCAAGGGCAGGGTCTCAAAGCATGCTGCCAGGATGCCAGTGCCTGGCTGGGGCCCCTCCCACCACCCTCCCAGATGCTCAGGGAGAGGCCGACCTGAAATCCATGGACCAGAATCCTCACTGTGTCCCCGACTCGGGCTCTGGTGGGCGTCATCATGATTCTGGGTCCTTTGGGGGCAACTGAAGGGAGAGAAAGGCCAGGTCAGAGAGGTGGATGTATGTGCAGGGGAGGGGGCACTGGGCAAGAAAAGGAGGGGTAGGGGAAATGAAAGAGAAAGTTCCAGTCCAGCTCTAGTCCTGCTCCAGGATGCTCATTCGTTCCTTCCTTCCCTCTACCTGCCTGCCTCATGCAAGCACATTTCCTGAGCCCCTGCAGTGAGTCGGACCCTGGCTGGGACTTGGGGATTCCACGGTGTGCCGAACGTGGTCTCAGCCCTGGGTGGTCAAGGTGTGAGGGACCAGATTCCTCACTGCCTTGTTTTCTAAATCCCCCCTCTCCCTCCTTCAGGCCTGGGTCTGGGCATCCGGACCCCGAGAGGAGAGGGTCCCGACGTGTATCAGGTGTCTGATGTGCACTAGGCTACACCGGAGGGCCGTCACACCCATCCTGGTGCTTAGAGGCAGGCAACTGTAAAGCCCATTTTGCCGCGTTTAAAACCTAGGGAGGTCAGCGGCTTGCCCAAGGTCACACAGCCAGGAAGTGGCAGAAGCAGGACTTCGTGTCCTGTGGGCCTTCAGAGGGAAGCAGGAAGCCTGGGAGTGGAGAAGGAGAGTTGATACCTTCTCCCACCTGAGCTGCGGTCCCTGGGGGCTCCTGGGGGCTCCCGGGAGGGCCAGAGATGGTGGGGGAGGGGTCGGCCTTGCCTTCACTTCCCTGAGCTGACCAACCGGGGCCTTTGCAGCAGGTGGCCCCTCCGACTCCCACCCTCACTGCTGCATCAAGATGTTGCTTCTGGAAGCCAGGCCAGCTGCTCTTACCTTGGCACTTCTACCACCACCCTGAAACCCATGAGCAGCTGCTGGCTGTCAAACCTGGGCCTCCCTGCCTGCTCCTAGAACTCATCACCCGAAGGCATGTCCTCAGTCGCCAGAGTCTCACGCCTTTCAACCCCTGGACACACAGAACGAGGAGAGCCCCGAGACCAGGACCGAGGCCGAGCCTTCTGCTCTCTAGCTGCACGAGCCACTTCAACTTGTTGGGCCTCAGTTTGCTCCCCTGTAAATGGGGACAACAGGCTACCACCTGATTTGAGGGGTTGCTCTGAAAGGACAGTAAGGGAGGGGTCGGAGACAGTAAAGGGTGTGCCTCTGCTCATGCACAGGGCATGAATCTGGAAATGCACACAGGATCCCCTGATTACACGGGATCCTGATTACATATCATACCCTCTTTACCTTGCCTGAGCATTCTGCTCCAAGGACAGACTTGGGAAATCTCGTGGACAAGATTTTCTAAGCTTCCCCCAGCAGTTCTGGGTGTTCAATAAAACCACCCTTACCCACCCACCCCCACTCATCCATTTGTCCATCTACACATCCATGCATTCATTCTATCCATACATCCATCCATTCCATCATAGCATCCCATCCATTCACCTAAACATTCATTCTATCCATTCATCCATCTTTCCTTCATATTATCTACCCATTCATTCATCTACCCATCCACCCAAAAACCTACCAGTCCGCTCACCAGCCCATCCATTCATCTGCTCTGTCCACTTAGTTCTTTATGATACACCTGGTCTGTGTCGATCATTATGCAGGACACAATGCTGAATGATGATAACAGTAGCTTGTATTTACTGGGTACTTGCTCTGTCACTATACTAGGCACTTTCTATGCACTGCCTTATTTAATCTTCACAAACACAGAAAAGAACTAATTGTTATTAAATAAGAGTTTATTAAGTAATGTGTTAGGGACTTTTCTGAGTCCTGTACCAGGTGAACCTGGCAGGTAAAGATCCTGCCTGTACAGCACTTAAACTCCAGTGGGGGATCCAAGAAATAAGGAACCTATATAATACATACTTGTAGATAGAAATAAATACGATGCCAGAAAGCAAAACAAGATAAGGCGTTGATGCGGGGCCAGGAGGAAGGGGCTGAGATAGGGCAGAAGATCTGAGTGGAAGATTTGATGGGAGACCTGGGTGGGGGAGGGATTGAGATATCGGGGTGAGATTTTTCCAGGCAGAAAGGAAAGTCAGTGCAAAGCCTCGGAGGTGGACCTGAGCTGGATGCATTCAGGGAAGAGTGAGGAGGACCCTGTGGCTGCAGCAGGCGGACCAGAGGGGCGTGGTGGATAAACACTCCCCGGATTTTAATGTGGTGGAGGTCACACAGGGCGAGGCACTGTTCCTAAGCACTCAATTTGATGAATCTTAATGAACACGATTACCTGGGTGAGTGCCATCCCAACCACACTCTAGCGCATTCCTCTCCCTCCAGAAGGTTCACTTACACCTCCTTTCAGTCAATGTCCCCTCTCCGTAGGTAGAGATTGCTTGGATTTCTACCACCAGAGGTCCGTTTCACGTTCTAGAAGCTCACAGACACGGAATCACGCAGTCTGTACTTTTGCTGTCTGGCTTCTCTGGCTCAGCGTGTTTTGGGTTCCAGCCACGCTGCTGTGTGTATCAGGAGTTCATTCATACGTATCGATAAGAACTACAGTTTATTGTATGAACATACTACAATTTTTTCGCCCATTTTCCTAGTTATGGCCATTAGCATTTCTCACAGTTTTTGTAGTTACGAATAGAGCTGATGTGAACATCCATGTCCAAACCTTTGTGGGCGTGTGTTTTCCTCTCTCTTGGGTAAACACCGAGGAGTGAAGGAGTGGACCGAAGAGTCGGGGTACATTTACCGCTATAAGCAGCGGCCAGTTTTCTGAGCAGCAGCGCTGCCTCCAGAAACGACGGGCGTTCCGATGGCTCTACACTCGCGTCAGCACGTGGTACAGCCAACCTCTTCAGTCCCAGCCATTCCAGCAACTGTGGACGGGCAACTCGCAGAGGCTTCAGTCTTCATCTCCCTGATGACCGATGATGTTACACCTCTTTCTATGCACGTATCGGCCATCATCAGAACTTCGTTTTAGAAATAATTGAGTTTCCTTGTCATTATTTGCAGTAGCTGTTTATATATTCCAGATACAAATCCTGTGTCGCGTATTTGTGGTCAGAGTGTCTTTTTCTCAGTCTATAGTTTGCCTTTTCATTTTCTTAAAATTGCCTTCTGATGAGCAGACGATACGAATTTTTATTAAGTCCAATTTACCGACTTTCTATTTTTCATTTAGCGCTTATTGTGACCTCTGTAAGAAATCCTTGCCTGCCCTGGTATCGCAAAGGTGTATTTCTATGTTTTGCTCCAGAAGCTTTGTGATGCTGGGTTTTACATTTAGGTCTATGATTCATCTCAAATTAAATCTGTGTACATGTGAGGTAAGAGTCCAAGTTCATTTTCTCTTTATGCGTCTCCTGGGTCATTCGTTACAAAGACTTCTCCAACCCCATCGAACGGCCCAGGGTCCTTTGTCAAAAATCAATTGAGTCTATATATTAGGGTCTATTTCTGGACTCTATTCTGTCCTATCAATCTATTTGTCTACCTTTAGAAGGTTTGCGGTGCGTGTGTATGTGATTCATGATATGAATTATAGTAAATGGATCAATCAGGGTGAAGAATAGAAGAAGGCAGGTGGGGAAGCCAAAAGTTCACTTTGGGGGCTACTGTAATAATCTGGGTGCCTCGGTTGGATGGTCAGAGAGGAAAACCATGAGTTGTGACAGGTGTAGGACATATTCTGGTTGAGTTGCCAGGGCTCAGTGATGGCTTGGGTGTGATATATAAAAAAAGAATGGGATTAGTGGGTGACCCCAGAGCTCTGGCTTGATCCATGGGAAGACTGTGGTTACCATCTACAGAGGTGGGTTTTGGACCCAGCTGGGCATCTGTCTTCTTGGAGGAGGGGAGAGCACCCTTGTTGGAGGGGACAGAGGAGGGGACAGCAGAGGGGACAGCGCAGGGCTATCACAGGGAGACACACTAACCTCGCTGGCCTGACCTTCAGCGTCTTCATTAGATGACTAGAGTCTGCGAGTCTGTGCCCAAGGTCATCTCGTCCACCCACGGCCTCCCTCCCATGCCAGGGAGCCAGTGCCCTGCCTGCGTGAGGTGCAGACTCTCACTCAGGACCCACCCCACCCCCAGCTCACACCACTCTCCCCGGTTCTCTCCGCAGTCCCCCCAGGCAGACGGTATAACTCGTGGGCTCTGGGGGCAGACTGACCGACCAGCCTGGGTGACCTGAGGAGAGCTCCTCAAAGCCCGAGTCCCCTCATTAAAATGAGAACAGTGGTAGCATCTCTCACTGCTTCACAAGGTCACTGCCCAGTTGCAAGGAGAACACATCTGACGCAGATCCGGGCTCCTAGCACATGCTCCAAACATTTATGAGGTTACTATGGTTTCCCCCCATTCAATAGGTCAGAAAACTGAGGCTCGAAGACCTAAGAGGCCTGAGATTTCACCAACTGACAGCAGCTGAGGTAGGCTGAGGAGCCAGCCTAAGGGGCTCTTACTCACCCACCAGTGTGGCCTCTTCACCTTGGTGGCTCTGCTATGTCCCCCTCTGCCCACTTCCCTGCTGTGCACACACATGTCCTGCTGGCTTGGGGTGGGGTATGGGAAGGGATGGAACAGGCCTCTGGCAGCACCCTCTTTGTCGCCAAAGATGCGAGCTGAAGCTCATCTCCCAGCTGCTTTGAGTCCTTGTCTGGTCTCATTTTTATCGCTCTCAGTTGGGGTAAGGCAGGGAGCCACCCGTGGGAAGCCCGCACTTGGCCAGGAGAGGCAGGCGGTGGCTTTCATGGGTGAAGCAGCTGATGAAGGGTGGAGACTGCTCCCAGCCTAAGAGCAGGCTGCATCTTGAGGATGGGACGGGAGGAGACGGGGGGGGGGGGGCCGGGAAGGCTGGAGGGTCCAGAGAGTGGGGGGAGGGCCATTCGAGGGCCAGCTCTGGGTGGAGAAGTCCAGCACTGAGCACAGGGCCTGGCCACAGCGGTGCTCATGAAGTCTCTTTGGAATGAAGAGCAAATGGTACCTGGGGGTGGGGGTGGGGTAGAAGCTCACAACAAATGGCCGCTATGTGGAAGCACAGTGACAGGTCTCACTGCCTGCCTTCGAATCCTCTCCCTCTTGCCTTCAACAACTTAATTTAACCTCGCTGGTGCTCAGTTACTTCCTCTGTGACATGGGATAATGAGGGTACTGCGCTGAGCTACCACAAGGATTACCAGTTGGGTGATTGGGTTGCGACTGAGTTCATATGAGACAAGCAGCAGTCTGCGGTCTGTAGCAGGTGTTCAGTAAAAGTTAGTCCCAGTTATTGCCTTCTCTCTGGGCAGGTGGCTTGTGGAAATCAAAGGGCCATGTCATGGGCCTTAAGGGGAGCAACCCCACAGCCAGCCGAGGATGCCCGCTCTGGGGCTGGTGTGTTCAGTGGCTGGCATTGCAGGAAGGGAAGGAGGTACCACAGAACTGGCTTGAAATCCCAGCTCTGCTTCTCACAAGTTGATGACTCAGGGGCTCCACCAACTGAGCCTCAGTTTTGCTCATCTGAAAAACGGGAATACCCAGTAAGCTTCTCCTTGTGAGGAATAAATGAGATAAGCCTTCCAAATGCTCCTGGCATTTTGTACATGCTAAATGTCCATGAAATCCTTTCCCTCGCTGTTTGGTGTACAGCCAGTGCTAAGTTTTCTGGTAAACCAGCAGGAAACAGAAGCCCTTTGGACCCCTTGACATAAGCTGAAGTCCCCACCCTCATCAGTCACTGCTATCTGTCCTCAGTCATGAGGGGTTAGGAGCTGGGAGGGCTCCATGCAGCACCCATCACCACAGAAGATGCAGAGGACAAGCCCAGGCCTGTGGGGCTCCAGGAAGAGCTTCTGGGTGCCGTAGGTCAAGGTTCAAGGGGTTTCAAACAGAGGGAATCGGTACAGGGCAGGAGCTGTGTCCAGTGTCCTGGTTGCGCCCACCTCCCACGTCCCCGCAGATGACAGGGTTGTCACTGTACTTTAAAGTGTAAGCCAGCATGGTGTCCTCCGTGTTCCTGACCCCAACCTGGCAAAGCTTCCCGACCCTGACTCGGCAGGCCTCCGACCTGTTGGGTCAGTGACCCTTACCGAGTAACTGGCCCCTGGGCTCTCGGGTCTTTTGTCTCAAACAAAAAACCGCTTTGTCACCTCCTACGTTCCCGACCAGGATGGCTAAAAACCTTCCTGGACCTTCCCGTGACCTGACTCAGCAACACCTCCCACCCCCCGAAGAGTCCACACTCTGTGTTCTTCACGCGTCCATCAAGCCTCCTTGTGTTTTCTGTGTTTATTTTCAACCTTGAAAACCTTCTATGTTTCCTAACACTGATCCATATTCTTTTCTTTAAAGATTTTATTTATTTTTAGAGAGAGGGGGAGGGAGTAAGACAGATCGATGTGCAAGAGAAATCAGGGATCAGTTGCCCCTTGCACACTCCTGGTTGGGGGTCCGGCCTGCAACCCAGGCATGTGCCCTGACCAGGAGTCGAACTGGCAACCTCTTAGTTCACAGGCTGATGCTCAACCCACTTAGCCACGCTGGCCAGGGCTGATCTATGAGCTTGATCCTGATGGACCAAACTCTTGTGACCTCTTATGTTCCTGACCCTATCCAGCAAATGCTCCAGCCTTGCTTGACTCTCCCAGGTCCTCCTACCCAGCTCAGCAAACCTGCCTAAGAACCCGAACTCTGCCCTTGCTGGATGGCTCAGTTGGTTGGAGCACTGTCCTGTACACCAAAAGTTTTCAGGTTCGATCCTGGTCGGGGTGCTTGTTTCTCTCCCTTCTTCTCTCTCTAAAATCAACAAATATATCCTTGGGTGAGGGTAAAAAAATAAATAACCCAGACCGTTACCTGTGTGCCTGCCCCTGACTCCAATTTGCTCCCTGCCCTCCTTAACTCCATGACAGCCGGCAGCCCGGAGCCCTTATTCCGCAGCTTCCCCCACCCCAGCTCTGCAGGGGCCTGCGGAAGGGTAGCTCCCAACCTTACCCAGCGTGACCTCTGCCTGCATGGGCATCGACAGCGCTGGGTGCTTGACCTCGCAGCTGAAGAGGGCTTCATTGTCGATCTGCGGGTTGAGTGTCCAGGTGAGCAGGGCACGGACCTCCACGGTGCCGTCGCTGCCCGGGGTGTGGCTGTGGCGCAGGAAGTAGACGGGTTCGGAGCTGTGGACCCAGCGGGGGAACTCGCGGCTCACCACCGTCTCTGGGATGTTCTCGGTGGTCGGCTGGAGAAGGATGCTGGGGTCTGGGGTCAGGCCGCGGGACGGCCGCTCGGTGTAGGGATGCCCGCCCCGGTTCTCAGTGTCCAGCAGGGACAGTGACCGCTGCACCTTGGTGTCATCCAGGTCACGGTGCAGGAGGCTGCGGAAGGGCCTGCTGTCCTGGAGCGGGCCAGAGCTCGCAGCTGGCGGCTCTGACAGGGGCACCGCGTCCACTGGCTCCCCATCTCTTTTGAAATAAACCTGGAATCACAGGGAGGGTATGGGAAAAGATTTGTGCCAAAGCCCTAGACCTCCCAATGGGCTCTCAGAGGATGTGGCCACAGGAGGCCATGCTTCCAGAGCCTCTTTTCTCCTGGCAGCCTTCCTGATGGACCTCCTCATTCATTTCCTTCCAGCAGCCCAAGACCAAGGTGGTTTCAACTCAGTGAGGACACGCAGGCCCTGGCGGCAGAGGCTTTGCGCCTCAGTTTCCTTACTTGTACAGGGACAATCAAGCACCTACTTCACGGGGCTGTGGAATGCCTTGAACCAACAGGCAAATAGGAGGGCCCGGGACCCAGCCTGGTGGCCACCTGGGCTCCCAAGGGGCGGCCCACACCCACCCGGGGAGAGCGAGTGGACGAGAAAGTGGAGAGGGCCTGAGCTTAAATGAGACGTCAGAGGAATGAGGAGAGGACCTCTGCGTGTGAAGTCGCTTTGCAGGTTTTGGAGACAAGGCAGGAAATAGGTGCGTGCGTGGGAGGAAGCCAGGGGTGGGGGGGTGAGGCGCACACACCATCTTCTTGCTTTCTCTGCGAGCGAGCAATTGAAGTTTTGAGAGGCGGCATTTAATTTAATTTGCTGTCTTTTTATTTTGGTACAGGCGCCCAGAGGCCTGTGGGGATTGGGTGTGTTTTTTAATAAATCAGATAAATAAATAGATGGAAGATGGGAAGAGCGGAGGGCAGGAAGCCGCTCTCAGGATGCTGGTGCAGGTGGCGGAGGGCGGGGGAGGAGGGCGCGGCGGGAGAGGGGCTGGGGGGCGGGCAGGGGATGAAACCTGCAGCACAGAGAATCTGTCAGAGTTTATAGCTCCAACGAAAAATCTCTTAGGCACATAATAGCCATAGACTGCTTTGGCTTTTTCTTTTTTGAAAAGTGCTTCAAAAGCATATTTGTAATTTATATCAGAGAATTTTTTCAAGTTCTGAGCTTCCAGGCAAATACAAGATGCCTGGAATGTGGGGAGATGAGAATCATATATATATGAGGACATATATATATATGTGTGTGTGTATATATGTGTTTACATACATATATATGAATTTGATTTAACTTGCTGTCTTTTTATTTTGGTACACATATACACACACACATATATATCTTTATATATATGTCTTCACATACTTATATGTCTTTTACTGTGTATATTTGAATATTTAGTGTCATCTTAAATGGCAGAAGCAGGCAGGCGGGGGCAGGGTTTCCCCCACAGCCCCAGGGCTGAGAGGAAACTTTCTATGGGCCCTTTGGAAAAGTTTTCCTTTGGGGAAAAGACCAGCTTGCTTGATTTTAGGGGTCCAGACCTCCGAGTGGGCTCCAAAGGAGGAGAACCTGGGGTTCCATCCTGCTCTCACCCATGCGGGCGTTGAAGGTGCCGGTGTAGCTCTCGCCCTGGGGACGCAGGTGTGGGTGGAGGGAAATGGGCCTCACCGAAGGCGTGTCTCCGAACACCTGTGCCCTGCCTCACCTGTGTGAACCCGCCTGCTGCCCCACCCGGGCCCGGCACGCCGGCCCACTGCCCTGTCTTGAGTCTTTCTGCGCCTGTGTGCTGTCCTGTCCTGGGCAGCTGGGGGGAGGCTGGCTGGGTACCATGGTCACCCCACTGGAACACGCCTGTGAGACAGGCAGGGTCTGTAATGCCTCGCCTCCCCCTCCTTGGACTTGAACCCTACCTGTCCCCCCCCCCCACTGACCCCTAGTAATGTAAAAAACTCTTGGGGTCAACACCTAAAGTACTACACAATGTCGACACTGGAAGGGCCTTGGGAGCCTGTGGTCCATAGCATCCCCACGTGGAACCCCAAGGGCTCCACAGAGACACCTCAGGGGTCAGCACGGACAAGGTGCCCTTCCTTCGCTCTTCACTGTTGTAGAGACATTTAAAGACATGGCGCTTCCGTGTATTTCATTCAGACCAAATAGTCCTGTTGCTACTTAACACGCTGAAAAACTTGAACGGCGTCCACCCCCAGAACCTCCTTACAGAAACGAGAAGCAAAGGGGAGATCTTCCTGCTCAGGGTTATTCAGCGCGTGCGGCAGGCTGGGCTGGAACCCCGCTCTCAGTGGGCACTGTCACCTCTGTCCCTGCCTCTGACTTGGCCGTGAGTGGGTACGTGGATGACACACCCGAACAAGACACACAGCAGGGTGATCCTGCAGGGACGGATGGGGGCCGGGGTACTCACCGTGGGTGCTGGTTTCCCTCCGGACACGATGCAGACCAGCGTGAAGTTCTGGGCTTGGTAGCGGCTGAAGGGGGCCGGCGTGTCCGCAGCTACCACTTCGATGGAGGTAGGAGGGGCTACCCAAGGGGGAAGCACAAAAAGAAGAAGGCTTAATGGAACGGTGAGGAAGAATTCACTGCGTACCTCAGACGGGCCAGGCCCCAGACTGAGTGCTGGGTGGGGGTGGGCTCCGATGCTGCCCAACCCCAGAGGGTGCCAATGTCATCAACCACAGTGAGAATGACGTCCCTGCTGGGCGGAGAGAGAGGGCCCTGCCTCACCCGGCTCGCAGCCTGGTGGGTATGACAGCACATGACACAGAGACGACATAGTTAATGTGCTCAGTGCAGCAGGTGCCGTGAGGTACAACAGAGTGTAAACAGGCCTTGGTCAAGCCTGAAGAAGTGGCACTGTGCTGTGACCTGAGGGAGCAACCCATGCGGGACAAACATGACAGGTGCCGGGGACAGCATGTGCAAAAGCCTGGGGATAGGCTGGCCCAGGGCCAAGGGCGGGGGGGGTGTGTAGGATGGGAGGCAGGGGAACGTGGCACCCAGTGGGGCTGGGCCGATGCGCAGAGCGCTGAACAGGGCAGCTGGTGGGGGTTGGCCCCTCACTGACTCAGGTTCCCATGGGCTCAGAGAGCCTACGGTGACATTTTCAGGAAATTCGAGAACCAGTTGTGAAATGACTGCTGGCTGGACATCAGCCGCGGCTGTGAATTGGGGCCTTCTTTGCTCCTCCCCCTGCCCCAGCCCCCAGAGGCGGGGTCACTAGGCTTCTGCTGTTCTGAGTTTTCCTTCTTTGTCCCGAGAGCAATAGGGAGCCACGGAAGGTTTTAAGCAAGAGCGGTGATGTGACCCAAGTTGCAGTTCGAGAGACTGGGAACAGAATGGAGGCCGGGGAGACGGATGCTCAGACCCCGGTGAGGGCAGTCAGAAGAAGTTGGCTGCATTGGCGGCCTGGAGGCTTCTTCCCACCTTCCTTTTATTCTGGAAGCTGACTGACCACAGATGGCCCTGCCCCACAGGCTCACCTCTCTGTTCTCCTCACCAGGTGCCACTGGCTGGTTTGCCAAAGCCGGGCTCCAGGCACTGTGGGCACTGGCACGGGCCCACGTGGAACCATCGGGCATCCCTGGGTCCCTGTCCCAATTAAGTCACCACCACCTCCACGTCCGTGGGCAAGTCACCAAGACCGTGAGCCTCAATCTCCCGCTTCCTGGAATGGGAGTCCCACTTGGCAGGCATGTTCGAAGAAGCCAATATAAAAAGGCTTAGCACATGGCAGGAATTCCCTATTCTTATGATTCTTCTGGTTATTCCCCCTCATTGTCAGCAGCACAAAAGCCATAATCTTAGAACTTCACCTGGGAAAAGCTGTCTGTTCTGGCTTATCCGGCCTTGGGTCCCGAGCACTGGGAGAAGCAGAGAAAATGAAGAGGGGTGGGCTTTTCCTCCCGGCACGGGGGTTTCACCCCGGTTAAGTTTAATTAAACTCGACAAACATTTCCCGACACCTACTAGGTGCGGGGCACAGTGCCAGGTGCTCACAGTAGGCACCCGTGATGGCACAGACACCGCCACGAGAGGCTCACCGTCTGGCAGGGGAGGCAGCTGCCTGGCAACTCTATTTTAAGGTCTGGGGGAACAGAGCCAGGTAGGAACCATTCATTCATCCGGGCAGCCAACCACGCGCTCTCAGCGGGAGAGGCAAACAGGAAGCAAGGGGAGAACAATAGACGGAGAATTGTAATTAAGTGTAAGATGGGATGAAACAGATGGTAAGTGAGGTAGGAACTCCGAGGGGGGGAAATATACCAGAACACTTCAATTACCCAGAAGTTGCAGATTCTACAATCTAGCTTCTGTAAAATTCAACTGAGAACTGGGATGTTAGTGCAAGCACCAAGAGCGGCCCGTGTTTATGAGTCAGACACCGCTCTGAGCCCTCACCTGTGTTAATTCACAGAACCCTCGCCAGGAGTCTATGCCTGGGTTTATGTATTCTTAAGAGGTGAAGCAGCTTGCCTGGGTTCATGGATGGAGTCAGGATTTGCAGCCAAGCGCCCCAGCTCCGGAGCCTAACCTTGGATGTGAAGCTCTGCCTTCTAGATGTTTGCAAAGAAGGAAGGAGCTCATACCTGTTGGCACCTGAACCCTAACCGCACACTTTAGCCACTCATTCCTCTGGCACGTCTCCGTTTCCATGGGTACCAGGAATCCAGATCCCTTGAGAACTACCTGGGGTGGCTCTACTTAACGCACTTGCCCCGAAGATCAAGGACCATGCCACTTAGAGTTTAGCACCAAGCTCTGGCAGTGCTCGCGGTGGCATTTGTACACCCCTCGAGAGTCCTAGAGGCTGAGACTTAGGCAGGGGACACCTTCAAAATCACTCCTTCAGCCTTCCTTGCCTTCACTGAGCAGACAGGAAGTAGGCACCTAGAACTTTCCTTATAGGATTGCTTTGAGGAGTACATGAGATGATGCTTGCAAGACGCCTGGCACATCGGGAGCCTGCGATACAGTGTAGCAATCTTAACTAATATTATCTGTATCCCTAACAGAGGAAGGGAGTCTAGGACAATGGTTAAGAGTGTGGGTTCTAAACTCAACCACCCAGGGTTCAAAGACCAGTGGTACCACTGCTGGGTGTGTGACCCCGAGTATGTTATTTAACCTCTGAACCTCAATTTCCTTATCTGCAAAATGAAATTGGAGGTTACCTGTGAGGATTCAATGATATAGGACCTCAGGGTGTTTGAACAGTGCACCTGATACACGTCAGCTGCTTTTATTAGCACTATTACTTACTAACCTTCTTTCTTTGAGGATCCTTGCTACGGGCTGGGAGAATGAAACCTGCTCTCCGCCCCCGGGGCAACTCACAGTTCAGCAAGGAGCCCAGAAAATGCCCTGGATTGGCACGGGTCAGTATACAGCCATCACTGACCCCAAGTGGCTGCTGGGCACTCAAAATGTGGCTTTTTCAAGTTCATGAAATTTTGAACTTGAATTTTGAAGACAATTATAAAAAGAACGTTATTAAAGAATAGTATTCATATTTTATATTGGTTACATGGTGAAATAACATTTGGGCTATGTTGAACTTAATGAATATGTTATAGGAATTACTTTCACCTTTAAAAACTTTTCTCAGCGTGGTTATCGGAAAACTTACAATTACCTAGGTGCCTAGCCTTATATTTCTCTTGCCCAGCACTGGATTAGACCTTCCCCTCACAGGTAAGCAACTGGGGTCAGAGAGAGGGAGAGGTTTTGCCTGTGGTCACACGGTGAGTTAACGGCAGAGCCTGGCCAGGCACCCCAGGCTTTACACACGCAGGCTGGGGTTCCTGGCACGCCACGGGTGCCCCCCAACACGCACACACGCACACGCATCTGCACGTGCACACATCCCCATTCTGTAGATCTGCACCCAAGTCACGCACGCCGCCCACAGAGACCCTGATTGGGAGCTGTGTTCCTGTCCCTCGTTATATTACTGAGCAGGTGTTAGCAATATGTACAGTTAATCAAGCTCATAAGACAATAACAGATTTCGGTTGTATGGGCGACGACGCAGCAGAGCCGCTAATATCAGCGTGGACAGCCCAGACTTCCCACACTCTCCCCATCAACATGGCCCTCAGCCACCGTGTCCTAGAAAAATGTTACCCTGCCATCTTGCCTGGTGCAGGGCTCCAAGCGCAGACAGCTGGGGAGCTGCCTACACCCAGAGTCTCTGGCTGCCTATGGTGGCTTCCCCCCACATATGACTGTCACCCGCTCCCCTTCCTCTTTTGTTCGACTTCCTTTGATTGAGAACAGTGTTCTTTCTCTCACGACCCACTGTTCATGGACTTCTCATCTACAGCCTTCCTTCACTTGTAGTATTCCCAACCGCATCGTATCCTTACCTCCACCTCCCTCTTCCCTTCCATCCCCACCTCCATCCTCACCTCCATCCTCACCTCCATCCCCACCTCCATCCCACCTCCCTCTTCCCTTCCATCCTCACCTCCACCTTTTCTTCCATCCTTACCTCCACCCCCTTTCCAGTCCTGCCCCCACTTCCACTCCCTTCCACACCCCTATCTCTGCCCCCATCTCTATCCCTACCCTAACTCAGTCCATATTTCTGTCTCCACCTCTTCCACAATCCCAAGCCCATCTCCATTCTCCCCTCCATCCCACCCCTGTTACAATCTCTGACCAAGGTCGAAATGAGAAGTCCCCTATGTGCCCATCTTCAGATAGATTCCATGGCCTCGGGAGCAGTGTCCAGTCACAGGCAGATGGCCAGCTGCAGGCACAGGCGTCAAGTGACTTCTCGGATCAGAGCAATCCTAAGTTCAAAGTCAGGCTCTGGAATGATCAGTATGAAGCAGAGCCACCTGGCTGTGATCCAGGTGGCATAGAATGGCAAAGGGTCATCAGGCACGAGCTCTGGCTCACTGATCTCTCCCCATTTCTTCTGTGACAGTGTCCAACGCATCCACTCTTAGTGCCTCATTCCCTCGGACTTCGAGATTGTGCCTTCAGGGATGTCCGTGCTAGAACAAGGCTCTCTCGGGGCTCGGGGGTGCGCACCTGAGAGCACCTGAGATGACCCTCCTCGGGTGCAGAGACACTGAGCGGGCATACGTGGCTTAGGGAAGGGACAAACAGTAGTTAGCCACCATAACAGCAGGAAGAACTGCACTGGGCAGAGCTTCGGGATTCACCTACCACTCCTGGGCATGTTCTCGCGCTGTGTAGCCCAGTCCTGGGCCATAGAAAGAGCCCCTGCCTCACCGAGTTCTACGAGTCCACCATCACCGTGAAACAGTGGCCCAGTGGCCCCCAGTCAAGCCAGTGGACGTCCCAGTTTATTTTTTCTCTTTGGCCCTCAGCGGAGAGGACTGCTGCTGGGAGTTGCTTTGACTTTGTCGAGTACAGGAAAGGCAGCGTGGCTTCATACCCACCACAGCTGCGCGTCACGGCTAACCTCCGTCGTATCTGCTCTGCGCCCGTCAAGGGAGGCAGGGGCTGGTATTTCAGACTCCATGGTTAAGACGGACACAGCGAGGTGA